TGGGGTGCAACCCATGATAATATGCGGGTGTGCACCTGTCGAAGTTTTCTCCGGTGCCTGGTGAACTAGCGGGAAAGGAGGACAGGCGTATACAACTAAGTGGGTCCACGGGGCTAGCAAAGCGACCCTGGCCCAGGCTCCTGGAGTCAGCAGGAGTGTTACGTACGTCGGGAGCTTGGCATTCCGGGGTGCAGCAAAACGGTCCAACCTTGGACCATCCCACGGCCGAAACAGCCTGGAGGCTACCCACTGGGGTATCAGCTACTCTGTGTTCTGGAGACGGAGCCGCCCTGAAAAGGCGTCGCCAGACTGTTCCTCACCCCTGGAAGGTGGTGTGCGGTTAGCTCCACATTGTTTTCCAGGCACCAAAGGAGGATTTTGCTCCGCTAGGACTGACAACGATAGGGAATGCATCCCCCCTCCTTCTTGAAGGAGACCACCGCTGCATTGCCTGTGGTCTCGAACTACGGGTAGAAAGCGTGGTTGTGCTAAGTACACTGCTTTCAGTTCGAGGCGGTTGATATGGTAGTCCCGAAACTAATGCAGGGACCATATCCTTGGGCATGTTGGCCCAATGCGCTCCCCAACCCTAGGGGGAGGTATCTGTTACCAGAGTCATACCTGCGGCGAGCGGGCCCAAGAGGCTCCCCTGTCCGAGGTTGGCCAGTGACGACCACCAGAGCAGGGCTTCCTTCACTTGGTCCGAGATCGAAACCCGCCTATCTAGTTCCCATAGGAGAGCTCGGCGTTATAACTAGTGTTATACTGGGCGGCTGCGTAGTGCGGCCTGGGGAACGACCCTTCGAACCGAGGTCATCATTTCGATGATCCGCATTAGTTCACAGAGGGACACCAAGGGAACGCTGACTAGGCATTCGGCTAGGCTGCTTAGCGCTAAGCAATACACTTGAAATAGCTAAGCCAAGCTTACTCTTACTTAGCTTACCTCTGTGTCAAAACTCCATGCCCAGGGACCCCAACTGCACGTTGGGTCGAGGTGGAACTTGTCGATTTACTAATGAGCCCAACTGGTGAAGTAAATCCCGTGTTAGCCTGACGCGTTTGGCTATTACCCCTTGCCGGGGTTGTTGGTAACCGGAAGTCTGGATATGGATTGAGGTGTACCGACATCTGGTGAAGCAGCAGCACTACCTGTTTCATCACTCTGGTGAACATGTAGGGCGCTGAGCCTAACCCGAATGGGGGCACCCGAAATTCGAATACTTGGCCCAGCTGGGCGATTCAAAGAAGATGGCAACTCGCTGGGTGCATCGGTACGTGCAGGTAGGCCCCGCTTAAGTCTAGCGGGGCTAACCAGTCAAAACGGTGGATGGAGAGAAGAACCCTGAATGGTGTCTCCATGTGGAACCGATCGAGGAGCACGTACTGATTCTGTCTGCCTAGGTCCAAAACTGGATGCCTGCCACTTGTAGTTTTGGTACTACGAACACATTTGGGTAGAAGCCTGGCCTTAGTTCCGGCTGATGTACCCTGTGTAGGGCGTCTTTCCCCAGCAAACTGCTACTTCCTGTCTGATTGCTTCTGCCTTGCGGGAGTCCTTTGGCAGTGCCCAACAGGGGAGGCACTAACGGGGGGAAATGGAGATTTCAGCGGTATCCCGTAAACTGGCGTGTACGACAGGGATATGTGGCCATGTGTTCGGCAGTTGCGAGGGGTGTGCTACCTTCCCACATGAGGAGAGTTCTCCCAAGGCCTGAAGTAGTCACTAAGTTGTGACCTGGCCATTCACCGAACACGTGCCTGTCCCCCCGGTTGCAGAGGTGAGCGTCAAACATGCTACCCTGCTGCTGGGTAGACGTCCACCCAGAGAGGGTGAGGAGCCACCACCTGGCACTTACCTCCCTGGGGGCACAACACTACCCTTCCCTCCCATGGAAGGGTATAAGCGCTTGCCTCCTGGCTGACTCTGGCTAGCGGACGACGCCCTAGGGCGTTGGGTTTTCTGTGCTTAGGGTGCCCTCCGTTTGCCCATAACTGGCTAGCGGATTCAATCTGAACCCTCTGGTTCATTGCACTCCGAAGCTCCGAGACTGTACCCACCATTCCCTGAACAAAGAGGGTGGAGGATGTCCATTCTGCATCACTGAGGTGGGGACGTACCCCGGCTCAGCTTGTCGGCGAAAACATGTGCGTCTAAGGCCGCGTCTCGTAGCACGGTAGTGGCCCTGGCCAAGAGACCCAGGCGACACTAGGGGGTGTCGCATGTAGATGTGCGGTGGCCCACCAGTAAAAATGTCGCCTAGTCTAGGAGGCTGGTGCGTTCTGCCTCCAAGGTCTCCAGAGTGCTGGTCACGCATAATAACGTGCTCAAGCAACTCTGCCCTCAGGACTTGATGGGTCATCTTCAATTGGCAAAGACACCCATGGAAGGCGGCTATCCCCCTTTGCCCGGTTTGCCAAATTTGTGGTACCAGGGTCTGGGGAAGGAGCCTTGGAATCCGGTTGGGAGCGTTTTGGTCTCATCCCACGCTATGGGGTCTGATCCCTAAACCACACCGGGTAGCGTTTGGTCCAGTGGGAAGTGTTGCCTAATGTTATCCCCAGCCGGGGGCCTTAAGCATTACATCCTCCGCGGCTGACCAACGCCGCCCATCAACACCGTTTGCATGCTCTGCGCCCCACTTCGCACTCAGGCGGACAGGGAGAGACTTGCCGACGAGGTTGCTTTGGATCCCGACACCCGTGATCCCATAAGCATTGAAGCAACCTTAGGTGGTCACTTTAGGATCAAGGGTGGGGGGTATATACATTGTATCACTGGGATCGATGATACTCCGCCTCACCAAGAAAAGCGTGGCTCACCGAGTCATACAGATGGAAGACTCTGAGGGACCGCCCGGAGTACCGGCTGTATCCGACGCAAGCGAAATGCATCTCCTTTCACTTTAAATATGCGAGAGAGAGCATGTTCGACTGTGCGTCTCATGACAGGGTCAGTTCCCTCTGGGGACTCCTGTGGGTCGGTAAGAAAAGAGTCAAAACCCACAGCGGGGACCGAACACAAGAATAAATTCGTTACCGTTGTACCGTTACCATGTGACGAACCCTAGCTGGCTGAAAGTGGGGGGGGTCAACGTGTGCCCTGCCCTGAAAGCCCTGCCCCGAGATCTGGGACTTGGCTGCCAGCACCCCATTGGCATTCAGTGCCCGAGGATCCAGAGAAGGACCGATGCAATTAGCCTGAGCCTCGACCATCCCCCAAAATAGTGGGAGAGCCGTGCCTGGGAACGGGGGTTCCCCGGAACAGACATGTTTGAATGCAAACATGTTTTCATGTCTCTTCCTGCTTGCCCACCGAGGGGACACAGTGGAGACAGCTCGCTCCAACTGCGTCTGATCTACCCGGCCTGCCAGGGACGCAATTGCCCCGACAGTCCTTCGATCAAAGCCCTCAACTCTGAGGCAAACCCGGCGCCGTGCGAGGAAGGGTCCACAAAGAGACCCGCAACGGGCCCCATAGGAGGAAAGTCTCCAGGGGCACAGCCTCGCTGCAGCCGGTAAAATTGGGTAAAATACCACCTGAAAAAACAGACTGAGGATGCCCTCTGATCAGCGGGGGAGGCCGAGAAAAATATCGGTACCTCCGCCGTCGGGCCTCACATAGTGAATTGCTCAGTTAATTAAAAATAAAAAATACCCTGGAAATTTCTGAAAAATTGGCAACGAGATGCTGTTTTTAAACACAGCGGAAAAATCATGCACTCTGCGATGCCATCATGGTTACCTTAATCGGAAACCCCCTTGTCAGCTAGCATGCACTGGTAATGATGTTGCAAAGTACGTTGTACGTCCATGCTCGGCGACCTCTGGTATTATGGCAATCTATGAATGAGGTATTTCCAGAGGTTATAGTTCATTTAAGTTTCATCGACCCGTCTTGTCTGTAGTTGAATGAAACATGCCTCGATTTACTAGTTTCCTATGCTTCCTATGCGACTATATTTCGAAATTGTTTCACAGGCGTTTGACAGTAGTAAAAACTGTGAATAGCCGCTGAGTAGTCAAATATAGAGCCAATTTCAACCGGGTCGTCTAACTTCGCATGGTTCATTTCACCGGGGATCGCGGAAACTGCGTCATACAAAGTATTTTTTTAAAGGTTTGTGGCAAGGTAAATTTAGACTCAACCCACCCAATGGCGGTCGCTATGTTTATATAACTGTATGAATATCTCAACGGCTTTACATAATCCATTGTGCCACTCCTTCAGTGGGATTGATAACACGACGCCATGACAGTTTTTCATGCAAGGTTGTGACTTGGCGGACGTTTTTTCTTTCGTTTCCCTCGAATTATAAATATTTTTATTTTATTTTTTTACCTGACGATTTAACATCAGCAAGTTTCGGTGTATGGTGTATTTCTATGAGTTTCTTTTACACATATGAAGCGAATTATTCGTTTTTATCACTGTTTTTACAAAATGGCGATTATCTCAGTTTCAGTTTTTACTCAAAATTTCAACTTTAAAACTATTTAACTTTTAGACGGTTTATTTGTTTTCAATGAAATTTTCAGGGGTCATTATTCAGGTCTATCCTAAATAAATGGCTTCGTATGGTTTCACTGTCTTTCCTGAAACAGAAACAATAGAGCTGCCAATTAGCGGCTCTGTTAATTTTGAACGATTTATAAAATATGAATGTTTCAAAGAGCACTGTGTAAAAACTTTTCAATGGAAACACTAATAACTAAGCCATTATGTTCCTGGTAAACAGAAGTTTTAAATAAGTGTTTTTAAATCAAAATCAGGGTATGCATTCAAAAGTTAAATAGTTTTAAGTGCACTTTCACCTAAAATGCATGATTTTAACGCAAAATCAACACCACTTAATATGGTATCATAGTACATTATTGTAAACCATAAAACTCAAAAGTTTAAATAAAACTCTTTCAAATGATATATAACTTGATTGGTAAAACATATATTTTACTCATTTAATTACAGTAATTAAAGCCAATTAAAAATATAGTATCCCAACCTGCATCTCTACCTTGAATGACTTACCCTGCCATTTATTGAAAATCCATTGAATTTGAAATTGATATCTTCTCCTTTACTACATGGGTCCGATTTACCATCAATACTCAACTCAACAGTACTAGGATCTGCAAACACAAAATACTTGAAATTCATCAATCTGAGATTTAAATTTAAAAGACGTGTTTATCTCATCTCAATGTTAAACCCAATACAGGTTCAATGATACGAGTGTAGAGCAAACAACAATGGATGACAATAGTGCTATGCGACAACAACTGAAAGTTTGTATTGTGATATATTAGGAGAAACTCACCAAATGTCCATCCTATCGGTGGTTCTACTTTTAAAATAAAATCTCCCTGTGAAGGAAATCATATTAGCATTAGATTACAAATAAAACAGTAATTTTATATAAAGAACAAAAGAGCAAGAGCAGGTACAGGTACGTGTCAATAAAATGCAAAACATGAAATAAAATCTACAAAATGAAAAAAATATTTCTAGCAAAAATTAACTATTGGTGTACAAAACACAATTTATATTCAATTCTAACAGCTGATAAACGCTCCTGTGACTGGAATGCCATGCATGGCTATTTTGTATGCAGTTCAGTAGACAGAAGTTTCAGCTCAAACAATTCAAAAATATTTCTGGTTTGTGACTACTGTACATTGTACATATTTGGTTGTGCTGATTCAACACTTTTAGTATCCTAGCTTCAACTGAGCACATATAAGCAAAGTAAGACATTGGTGATTTAGACACTATATTTGAGTACTGGTATCTGGTGAACTCACCCACTGTCTTAGCTCTAAGCATTTGCAATCTTAGATCAAATGCTAGCTTGCACTAAATCTATTCTACCAATTCATGCTGTGAAATGATGCACCATAATGAATTGCAGCAGACGTACCTTATCATAAATGGGAATCAGAAAATAACCATTGTTAGGAGCACAGTCAGTCTGGTATTTTAGACTTCCTTGCTTGGTGTAAAGTTTAACCTAATAAAAAGTAAAAAATATAAAGTTCATCATCACAATCAGATTTACGCAATAATACAGATCTGCCTGTTTTAGTAACAATAATACTGTAAAATACTTTATTTTCGCTTGGAACTAATTTTTCTCTATTTTTGCTGAAGAAATGATTCAGTGAAAATAAAATCCAGCGAATATACCTTTTTTTCTATATTTTACATTCAACTCGTCAAAAATCAGTGAAAATAAATTCCATATGAAACACCAAAAAAGTCTTTTCAGCAAAAATTAATTCAAGCTAAAATAAAGTATTTTACAGTAATGCAGTGTGTATCATTTTTTAATTAATATAGAGAACTGCGACTTAACTTCAATTTAATCATACACATAGTGAGCATGTGATTCCAAACTACTTGATGAATATCTGAGATCAAACTACTTGATAGTCGACCAGTGAGTTTCATTTTAACATTCAAGTGCGGAAACCTTTGACAGATGAATGGAAAAAAATAGCGTCAGTAGAAGATGTTTTGACCTATTCTTGTTTTCCAATCACCGGAAACGCACTTTATTTTACTAGGCCTACACAAAGGACATACATATAAAAGATGTGGCAATCACAAGCAAAGACGTCAGTGCCTGAACACTAGACAGCCAAGGCAGTTTGAAATTTTGAAATAATTATTTTACTATTAGTGCATCAAGGCATGCAAGTGGAGGTCATGACAACTGCCTCCAACAATGTAAATTACATTTCACTACTTTCTACCAATCCTCAGTTGTTCTTATTGAATCTGTTAAAGAAGATGCATTTTTAACGACATTTTATTTGATTGTTGTTGCAATACTGTAGAATACTTTATTTTCGCTTGGAATTTCTTTTCGCTATTTTCGGTGAAGGGATGATTCCGTGAAAATAAAATCCAGCGAATATACTTTTTTTCCTATATTTCACATTCAACTCATCAAAAATCAGTGAAAATAAATTCCATAAAGAACGCCCAAAAAGCCTTTTCAGTGAAAATTAAATCCATCGAAAATAAAGTATTCCACAGTAATATGCATACTGTATTATGAGTATTCACAGAATAATAGCGTCAGAAATTTGTTGTCAATTGCCAAACATCATCAAAAAGTTCCATGGATTCAGTTGTTGAATTTTGTGTCTTAGAGTGTCACACATGGTATGAGTATTCTTTTTTTCGACAACCGAAGACAGACTATAAAAAGAATTATGACTGATAAGCAGTGCAATAGACATTTGATTGTGATAAGTACATCGGTAAATGGCGCCATAATTTTCAGATTGGATATTGGATCAAGTGACTGAAAATTGAAAGGGTTTTCAACTAAATTTTACCAACAACAACATCTACAGGATGATCAGGATAGAGATTCTGGTGACATTGGTGCCATAGCTTTTGTTTAACTCGTCCTCTGAATACATTATTCATTATATGCAAATGATTACATTTAGATAGGTGGGACTATTATGTGAAGTTTTGCATGTTTGTCAAGCTCTCCGGTAATTTTTATTTTTCAAAGGTACATTTTTTTGAGAATATTACTTTAATTCAAACTGGACAGTGAATCGAGAAACAACAACCAACAAACTGCCGGTAGCACTATTTCAGTTTGATTGCATGGTTTGTACAATTTATCACGCTGAAAGACTTCTTGGCGTCCAGCAACATTTTCAGAAAAAAAGATAATTACGTAGTGATTTCTAATCACTTTTTATTTACAGCGCCGGTTCAATGCGGGCTAACTGCATGGATTCTTGCTTAATCTGAGAAAAAGATGAAGATGGTTGAACTATATGCATAAATAATAATTTGATTCCCATTTACTGATTTAGCAAAATTTGATCGTAAGTAACAGGAAAAAAACAAATATCCCCAAATTTTATTTTAATCAAAGTTAAAGCGATAAGATTATTCTGTCGAAACGTCAAAGTTAACGTTCGCTTTTCGAATCAACGCGAGAAATAAGAGTAGTGACCTTTCACATAGCAGAATGTCATGATTTTAATAATCAAAACACGGTCGCTCTTTCCAAAAATTACAGTACATTGCATGCAATTTTACATACAAATGCACATTGTCGTGATCGTGTACTGAAATGAAATATTCTTACCTCCACCCTCGAAAAGCTTATTTCCACATCAGATTTTACAAATCCACCACATCCTAGAAAATCCTGCGCTGTTACCTGAATTGCATGACTGATAAAAATTCCTATTAACGTAGCAAATTGCAAATACATGACAAAACGTACAGGACGCCGAGAAACAAACGCCGGGCACACTGGACAACGTGAAATGAACAAAATGGCGATTGAGCAAAGGATTGTGGGTGTCGGGGATATACCCCTTAACCGGAAGTAGGGATTCCCCACGCTGTTGTGTCTCCTGCAATGATTTCTTCGTTAAATTTGAGGCACATTTAAATTGTGTACTACTGAGTATGTTAAGGCATACATAAAATGTTAAAAATAATAGTAACGGAATCACGGTAATGTATAGTTGCATTTGCCCACCGCTCCACTCTACAACACGTACGTCTAATGGAAGACCACGAAATTATGGGTCGGAGAATTGAAATCATTGGAGAATTGAAGACCAACGCTGTTTTTCGCGGCGTATTGTCTGTACATTTGTATTTTTCTTGAATTTTGCCAAAAAATGTTTCTGCAACATCTGCATTTGTTCTCTCTCGGTTTCCATCTTGCAAAGTTTTATTTCATCAAATATTCCAGCCACCGCCATTTGGCCAAAAAAACAACAACTTATGTTGCCCTCAAGTCGGAAAATTGAAAATTAGATCGGTCGGTCGGATTTTTTTTTAAACTCGTAAAAACTAAGGGTATCGTAAATAGCCGAGGTATATGGGAAATATTTCATATTTTTCGGTCGGTCGCTGAGGGCAACAAAACATTTTTTTTTTTGCCTTACGTGGTGCAAACAATTTCCAAACTCAAAAATATACATATCATGACCACAGTCAGCTGGCGTACAAGTGATAATAAAATGAATGCAATTAATCAATCGATATTTACTATATAAAGAGACTTTTTTTTTTAGTTTCAAGCCGTATTCAAGATTCCTTCCTCTACGTAGTTAATATAAGTATATTAATAATATTTATGTTAACAAAGACATACCTTCGTCTTTATAAATAGTTCAGAGGCGGCGGCACGAAATATTGCATGGGGGGGGGGAGATCTGCTCACCAGCTATGCGCCAAAGACGCGACATTACTAGGGGGTACGGGGCATGCTCCCCCTAACAAATTTGAAATATATTTGAAAGTCCGGTCTTACCTTACTCATTAGTAAGATGGCGCTAAATGTAATTATATATTATCGTTACTATTATTATAATAACAACAGCCATATGTGTAAGTTGTAGATTTCCTGTGATATATACAATACATTTAGAGGAGAATATAACTTCCTATCGTATATAATGTAATCCTATTAACACAATGAAAACAACTTGAAGTCAAGAACAAAATCTGGACAGCGTAACGTTGGTTGATATCCATAGCAACGGAACCTCAGCTAGCTGGAGACTAAACTATTTTAATAATGTTTAGAATCAACAATAATATATGCTTTTTTTATCTATGTCACCGAGCAAGATGATATGACAGGATATTAAGAAATTATTTCACCATAAACACCAGTAAAAATGCTAATTTTAAGCATTTTCAATGACATTTCGCATTCTTGGTTCGCGAACCGTCGATTCTTCGGTGAGCCATTATTTTTTTCATTTTTAAGTACGTTATCCGTAAATCGCACAATGAAATCAAAAATAAGATGACATATATATTCGGGCCAAAATTCCGTAAAGCATTGATTGGCGAAATACAAATGATAATTAGTATGCACATGTCGTGTTCGCCATGTCACACAAAATAGGGCGAAAAAGTAATGCGTGCATGAAAATATTGGAACATTTTTAACGCACACATTTCTTGCTGAAGAGCATGAAGAATTTGTCGAACTCTTCAATGTCATGAAAATGTGTCTTCTTTACACATTTACTTCAGCTCAGATGTAATTTTTTATCACGAGAATATTTTTTTGCTTCGAATGTGCTCTTTACTATAGAGTATCAAAACACAGGTTTGACTAAAGTTGGATTTTCGAATATATATATATATATATATATATATATATATATATATATAAATATACTTTTAATCGCCTCAACTCCCGATCTGCACATATACTAGTACAATGTACAATCACAGGGAGTTGAACAAACTTATGTATTTTAATAAATTATTAAATAATAAATTGTTATATAACTTTTCTTTTACCCCCCCCCCCCTCATGGTATCGATTTCAGTAATCACTGATCCTTCTTTATACCACTAGGGCGTGTCTTCATTCG